TCATGGCTGCAAATATAGGAAATCGCACTCCGCACTTTAGGACTGTGGGTGCGTTATAAGAATGAGAGTCTATTCCACTATTCGATTAGAGCAACCCAAAATTTGGGATGGGAGCTGCTTTTCCTCTAGTCTATCAGTTCAAAATTAAGGACGGTTGTTGCAGATAATTCTTGTATAGCTTTGTGCGGATATCCAAACAAGTTTTTAAATAAAATAAACAGTAAAACTTAATCTTGTTTCTAGCAAATGACGCACTCGTGTAAGTAGCTCGTGTTTTTTATATTATAACGAAAACAGGAAGATTCATATGATAGCGTGCATTATAGTGAGAAAAATTACTGTAATCCGGGCAATTTCAGTTTTTATTATTTAATGAAAAAATACCAAAACGTTAGTTTTATTTTGAAAGAATAAATGTTTCTTAGCTCATGTCACTTGTTTATTATTACAAAGTTTAGTAAAGTGCTCAGATGGTATGATTATTGATCGAAGCTTGTGACCTCAATTGTTATTGCGAAAATAAAAATACAACTTAAAGATGTTTGTTTTTGAATTTTGCGCAAAGCTACACGAGCGCTATCTGCGCTAGCTGTCCCTAATTTAGCAGTGTAAGACTAGAAGAAAGGCAGCTATTCATCACCACCCACCGCCAACTCTTGGGCTACTCTTTTACCAACGAATAGTGGGATTGACCGTCACATTATAACGCCCCCACGGCTGAAAGGGCGAGCATGTTTGGTGGGACAGGGATTGCGAGTTGAGCGCCTTAACCACCTGACCATACCGGGCCCGATTTAAAGAGATCAAAGTACAAATTAGTGATGACTTACTTAGACAGTTTTTATCAAATGTTTTAAATATCATCTCTAATGTCACGCATATAAGAGCTATAAAAGTTTCTATAGTCTTTCAACTTAATAACAATGAAATTTTATTATACAGTGGCTAGACTGAAATTTTGGAAGAGGTGAAACTTCCTTATGTGATTCGGACCGTTCCGCCCCATTTTAACGACTAGGTTAAAAAAAATTGCCTTTTATTTGTCCACTAAGTCCTGTTTGTTGCTTTATAAAGGTTGTTTACTAATTGTAATTCTGTTTATCTTTTCCTGTTCTTTTTCATTTCTGTGTATTATACAAGATGTTTATATTACACGGATGTTGGTGAATAAACAACATTACGTCTAATAATCCTCCCCACTTGCTTGTGTCACGGAGTGTTTGTTGTATTCTTACTACATCTCTCTAACAAACTCAACGTTTGTAGTTTGATAGCGAATAATTCACAATCAACAATAAATTCAATACATTTCGTCAGTAGGGGATCCGGGATATGGGTCTGGACGTTGTTAGAGCCACCAGCCTACTGGCAGACCTGTAGAAACCAATAGCACAGCTGGAGGGGAGGGGGGAGTCTGCAGTGAACGAAAATGTGGAATTTTTGTGTGTACGGAAAGTAGAATAGAAGATTGCACAAAACTTTAAATAGTGTTTGCAATTGAATGAACCGAAAAAGGAATAACGTTCTATCTTTAATTCTAAAGTAGTAATACCCAAATTATGGCACCGAGAATAATTACTAAATCCAGAAATGATTATTTAAACTCGTAAGTGGTGAAACTACAGGCTACAACTGCATTACCTAGTCGTCTCATGATGTCATTGACTATTCTGACAACCCCTAGTTTTTAAGATGACGTAATAGAAGGAAGATATTTTCCACCTTTGTGAATTGAGAAAGGAAAAAAAATACTCAGAAACAGAAAATGGGACTATTAGTCACACAAGTTCTTGTTCGAACTGGTCTGTCATCCATACAACCGGGGATATCAGAACACTGAACTTTGCCAACCAGTCGTTTTTGTTTATTCTTCTAAAACCTATATAACATTTTCATTTCGAATTCACTTGGCATTTCCGTTTACGTCGTGTTATTAAAACAAATTTGGGCATTTCTTTTATTAAACATGGTTTCAGATTACTATTATTGTATCCACATAAATAGATCAGTGCTTTCAGAAAATCTTACTGTAACTTTGTATTGTTAATAATCGATATTATGTATTTTAATAGTACAAAAATGTATGGCTAATAACTGTGTTTTGTTAAGTGGACTGTGTTAAAAGACTGAATGAGCAGTTTTCGCAAAACTTCTGTTATTATGGTTCTGCATGAGATTACTTGTATTAAACTGTAATAAACAAGGTGCCTTTACTATTACAACTTCTTTACCGCTACAGAAAATCGGTTTGCTGGAGCAAATAATATTACGAAAAAAAGAATTGTTGTACTTGTATATATATAGTCTCACCGAAAACTGTCTTTCTTTTAAACATTGACGATTTTCTTGCAAATTCTGTCACGTCAGCAGTTATCAAACAAGCTGGGACCTGCTATCACCTGATCCTCCTCTCAGCTGTGCCGGTGAGTCATACGTAGGAGCTCTCTCTTAGCGAACACTGCCCACAAAAGTCTTGAAGTATCTAAGAGTGACTCACACCTTATTTAACTCACCAGCAGGTGTCACTACGGTGGCTAGTAGTCTGATTTTACTGATCTCAAGCTTTGTGTGTGTCTGAAGTAAAGATTAGCCGTTGGTGTCTTCGCCTATTGAACCACCACGTCGCTATGATAAACATATTATCACTTGAAATCGGCAAGTAAACAGGTTGTTTTGGTTTTCGATCTCCCAGCAAGTTACGCAGTCAGTGAAAGAAAGCTGCTAGCGCATATATGTAATGTGAATTAAAACACAACATCGCTGGGATTCCGAGTTACTGCAACAAGCCAAGGTGGTATGGTTATGGTTAGGTGGTTCTTTGTCTGTTTGTTGTTAAACACAAAACTACACAATAGGTTATCTGTGCTGTGCCCACCACGTGTATCGATACCAGATTTTTAACGTTATAAGTCTTCAGACTTGCTGAAAGGCGTTAGGAGGTGCACATTGATTTGTTCTACCTAGTTATACACTCTATGACCATGTAAGGGATATTTAGTAATATGTGTATGCATTACTTACAAGTATTAACGTAAGTAAAAATAACCCAAGAAAACAGAAAAATGTTATTCTGCGCTGTGATTATTCTTGGGTGTCGACATTTGATAAAAAATAATTTACAAAACACAGACTTTACATATGTAAATATCTCTGGTTTATAAATACATAATGTACAAAACTGTGTCTGCTTCTTACACCATAGAAGTATATAGAGACAGCTTCTTCTACCATAAAAAGCTGGCATTTTCTGTAATCAAAAACGCGATTTCTTCTGCCATCTACTGATAGTTTCATCTACCATATAAACCAATTTCCTCTACTACATAAGTCAGCTTCTTCTCTCTTTTAAGCCAGCTTTTTCTACCATATAAACTTAGTTTCTTCTACCATAAAGCCAGCTTGTTCTGTCATTTAATGTGTTTGTTATGGATTTCGCGCTATCTGCGCTGGCCGTCAATAATTTAGCAGTGTAAGACTAGAGGGAAGGCAGCTAGTCATCACCACCCACCGCCAACTCTTTTTTACCAACGAACAGTGGGATTGACCGTCACTTTATAACGCCCCCACGGCTGAAAGGGCGAACATGTTTGGTGTGAGGGGGATTCGAACCCGCAGGTTGCGAATAGAGCGCCCTAACTACCTGGCCGTTCTGTTATTTAAAGCCAGCTTTTCTTCTATGTTAAACCAACTTCTTCTTCAATATAAAGTCATGTGTTCCTGCCTTATACAGTTAGCTTCTTCTACTGTATATATAGCCAGATTTTTCTAATATAAAAAGCCAGCTTTTTCTGTCGTTATTTTGACCGTCACTTAAAAAATAAAAAATTTTTCTTTAATACTTAAAATCGCTTATATTAAAGTTTTAAAACAAAACAGCCTAAAAAGTGAATTATTCGAGTGTAACTTATGGACATGGTTTACTTTTGTGACAACTTTAACATCTGCCATCGTGGCAAACGGGAAATATTTTCTTGAAATTATTTTGTGGGAAAACGTGAGCATTGTTTCAAAAAGTTAATCCTGAACACACACACACACACACATTTAGCTATGTATCTGTTTATCTCTTTATCGACAGATATAAATTAGTGTAAACAAATCATAAACCAGTTTCTTCTATTCTCGAAAACCCAAAATATCACTTCTGGTATTTATATCTATATATCATTTTTACAACTTGTACCTATTGAAGGGAATTGTTTTGAATCCATAGAGCTATTTATTAATAACAATTTCCTTTTAATACAATACTCGTATTATTAACAGTTGGTTTCTCTCTGATACAAAAAAAACCTTAATGTGGGCATAGATTACTGTCACTAGTAAACCCTGGAGACAGTGGATTCTCACCTCCACTTTTCCTTTTTTTTTTTTACTTCGTGACATAGTTATTTGTAGGCGATACCGGCCTTGAAAGCTTGCACAAGTCCGTACAAGTCTTAGAAGTTCGTGGCCTAATCAAGTGTGCTAGAACACAGCCAACAGTACACGTGAATCGTGTTCATCTCAAAGTGATAATTTCATAACCTTGACTTTCTATTAAAGTTCAATACAAAATATCATGCTACATATTACATGCTTCTCATTGTCTCGTGAAAAGAATCAGAATAATAAACATATCACTTTAAAATAAATACTTCTTTATAAAAAAAAACACCTTTTAGCGGCGTTTTAGGGTAAAACAATGAGAACAGAAACTGTAGAAAATATTTCTAATTTTTATTCATTTGCTACTTTAGATGTTCGAAAGTTTTAAATATTTTTTTCTAATATATCTATAGCAGTTGAGCAAAGTATTTTATTCTACGAGAACTATTCTACTGATTTAGTTATCAAACACATTAAAAAAATATCTTAATGTCATATTAGCATATGGTGTTACAAATAAACAGCATTCAGGACATACTATTTTTTGACCATAAAAAGTCTATATTGCATATGCGTACATATTGTTGAATGTCCTTTAGTAAATTTATATATTTCTTTATTTGTCTTTTCAGGTATCATTGCGGGAATTTGGTGACTTCTCTTATGGTGACTTCATTTTCTTCTACTTCCCTGGTAACTTTAGTTTATGGTAACAATTTGAAAACACATTTTGTTATTTCTGATACCTGCCCCTAATGATGTTCTTTAGATATGGGTAAAATTAATACAATTATTTAGAAATGATAGTATATTAGATTGTTATATCATTTGGAACATGTACACAAACTGACTATACAATGATGTCTTTTTGTTTTGAACAGAAAAGTAACATATTGCAAATTACCATCGTTAAGTCAAATCTGGCCAATAACCCTGTCTGTTGGCCTATTATTTCACTATTTGTAGCGAAAAGTAAAGATCACTTTTAGCATTTCAATACGTTACTTATAACTTTACTGTCATTAAGTATAAAACAAAATAAGAGAAAGCACTGTTAATTGGTCTTAATCCTCATGTGTTATCACCCCTTTTTCTTGGTACAACATAATGTTTAAGGTAATCAACAACGCTAAATATTCTAACCTGTAGCCGTTTAAGTGTAGTCAAATATTATTTCTATTTGTAGTATTAAATCAATATTAATAACAGTTATCAATCTTCATTAATGAAAATATCTCAGTGTACACGTTTTAAGAAATGAAAATCATAAAGTTAATAAGCAGAAAACATGTCATTTTTGCTGTATTTCATCATTTTATTCAATTGTTGTCCTTCCGACAATCATAGATATTCAACTGCCTGCAAAAACTAGAAGCAAAGATGTGTCTGCTTTTGTATCGTATAATATACTTAGTGGTGTAGTGCTAGAGCCCTACCAAAGTTTGTCAGGCTTGTACGCCATCACCAAGGTAAAAATCTCATGTTCAAAAACTTATTTCTATTTTTGTGAGTCCATTTTAAATAAAGAAAATACGTGCAGAACTAATTATCTGAGACTACTTACAGTGGTAATAAATTGAATACCATATGTTACCGAGAGAAAGCACGCAACTCAACTTCCTATAAATTATACAGCGAGGAAAAATAACAGCTTCAGTTTTATAAACAACAGTCTCCAAGCAGTATTAATAATTTTGGCTTTTATAATGCTTTACACACTTCCTGTCCTGCAAACACGAATAACTGAAAAAAAAAAGTTTCCTTGTATATTATGCAAGTGATAAGCCTTTTAAAATGTGTACGTTTTAAACAGGTAGTGTAATTGTAAAATGTATTTTATTAAGTAGTTTAATGCCATATGCGTCTACCTTATTAACCACGTGACACATAAGTTTCACCAATTTAACGCTCGGATACTTGCTCTTGAGTAGAAGTGGTTGCACGGTGCCTGATGCCTACTCCTGAGAGAGAGATGACAGCGATCTAAAAGAACTCTACCAGTGGACACTGGAGATCATAAACAGCCAAAGTGTTACCTGACACTGCGAGTTTACTTATGTGTAAACTGGATAAATTATTTTTTATATACATATTTTTAGTTTTGAAGTGTCTGAATTAAGCTCAAAATTCAAGTACCAGAGCAGAGCTCCGGAAGCACTACCTGTGAAATTGTACTAGTAATTTTACTTTTACATGATTCATAATACCATTAATATTTCCTTTTAAACGCCATTTTTAAAATTAGGCCTACAAGTAAGGCAGTTTGGAAACGTTAAGGAAGAAATAAACTAATTTGTCATCTTTTCATGGACTGGACTTCGAAATATTTTCACCAAATAATTTAAAATTACTCGCCCAACGAAAGAACAATGTCATAACAGTATAATACAACGAAGTTACAATTTAAGGTGAAAAGTTCGAATCATATCAGAGTATAACAAAAACTAATAATTCAAACTCCAGAATAAATGCACTAATAACTACAGATTGAAGTCTTCCTTGGAGTTTTCATACAAAGTACTGTGATTTTGTTTCAGTATTGTTTGTGAAAGCGAGTCGATCTCATGGGATATTTTCTTTACTTTACTGCAAATAGCATGAACACTTTTCTCCAATTATACATTGATTAAGAAGTTCAAATTTAAGATTTCATGTACAGAATGTCCAAAAAATTATTGAAATTCAGTTTAAACACACACACGAGCCATTTATATATGAAACTACTTTTCGCTCGAATTAAGTTTAATTTTGGAAATATTTAGTTTTTGTCTAGCTGCATTTAAAATATCAAGTTAGTTAGAACTTATTACGGTAGAAAACTTTTATCTGTTATCCAGTAAAGTTTTTCTGCAAAGTAACTACATATGTCTATATAATATACAACTTTTTGTGTTCGAGTTACTACAGGTAAATGTGAATAAGAACTTGAATCACCAACATGAACAGCACCTCATGTATACGTGGGTTAAACGGGCAAGTTAGACACCCTATAGGTATAGCCATAAAAATAGTAAACCATAGAGCGAGGGAAGTCAGCCACAAGGGCTTTATTCCACACTTTTAACTGAATTGAATGTCACCTTCATAACATATCCATAGCTGAAAGTTCGAAGAATGTTATGTGTAATCACCGCTCGAACCCTGAATGTTTCGATCTGTAGCCGGACACGCTAACCACTATTTGTAGATAGGACATGTTAATCCTCAAATTACCGATTTATTTATATACCTTTTACTTTCGAGATACTGCATCATATTGAGTAATTTTATGTTGTTGTTTTTTTCGTTAGAAACAGTGTGAAGAGCTGGGTAAAAAAAATGGTGAAATCACTCACTTTCTCTGTAAAATTCATAAGCATCTATAGCAATCAACTGCAAAATGTAACTCATCCGTTATCAGGGAACCAGTAATCAACAATCATTGATCCTCATCAATTTTGATGCATAAATGGTTTAGAAAAATGTTTAAAAAGACAATGGGGTCTAACCCCATCGACAATTCTAGGCTTACGCACTTTCTCTACTTGTGTTGTACTGATGAAATGTGCTTACAATAAAGTACGACAACGATTTAATTTGAGTTCTGGTAAACTTTACTTAAGACATTACAAAACTTACAACGACTGAAAATATCCAACACCAAAATATGACTAATACTTGTCTTTATTCACAGAAAACAGCACAAAGAACAGTATGCACAAGTAGTAAAAGTGATCTCATTAATTGTAAGAGAAAATAACTGTGCATTTTAAGGTCAATAGGTGATTATACATACTAAAGATAAACACAATAAAAACCTTGTATGAAAAAACTAACAAGTGAAACGCTAGACGGCTTATATATATTAATGTAACAGGAAACACTAAGGGGGGAAAATTTAATGGTATTTTATACTGTACTTATCAAATCTGAATAAGTGAAAATTCTTTCTTTCTTGACTAATACATAATTACATAAAAAATATAAATTAGCCAAATGAGATCATTAAGAAAGTTTGAGCCAAGTCGGTACCTGTCTTGTCCTACACTAGAAACCTATAACTGGAATGAAGTATCTAAACTTACACAAAAACTATATATGTGTGAGTAATGTACGATGTATTTCACCCAAAATCTTGAATTAAAACGTGGTTTTTTTTTTTTACAATAACTACAACTTTGTTACTTTTTCTATGTGTTTAGCTTGGTAAAAACACATTACAAATAATTTATACCAACTGGTCAATCTGAAACAACGTGACATATCGTATACATTTTTCACTTAAAATACGTTAAGGCAGCACACGTGTTCACTACTGTATCTAATACAGACGATTTGTTTATGCAAGTAAACAATCATTACTATTCAATTTACTTCCTGCAAACGTTATTCATATATTCTTTAACTCTGATAAGTTTGACACCGCGTGTAAAATAATGCTGATCTGTAAATATTATTCATAACAGGCTTGAATTTTTTCATATGAATTATCACTTCAAGTGATAACGAAGGTTACCTTACAAAAATAACAAACAAAACTGCTACAAATAAAAGACAGACAGGTATAACACCAAGACTTAGTTACCCCAAATAATTACAATATTTCTACCAGCATACAATAAAACACACACAATCTCCAGAACATCCTGCTACTCTATACATGATGCAAGGTTATGTGCTGGTTTGTTACGTGAGATCATTTTGCTCAGCTGATACTACTGTTTTGTCAGTAATAACAAAGGGGGGTATGACTAATTTTTAATGTGATTTATGTTAAGTTACAGTTCTCCAAAACCAACTTCATGTATACACATATGTACATAAGTAAATCAAATATAATGCTCTTCATTGAAAATTTATAAGCTAGGCATCTACATGAACAAAACAAAAAGTCTATAAATATAAACTTTTATTAGCCTCATCAACAGATAGAGAAATTCATGCTTATTAATTACTGCTATAATACATGATGATATGCTACTACTATAACGAAGAAAATGAATTATGACAATATACACATAAAACATTAGTCTAGTTTATATTATAATTTAGGCTAACATTGGCCAGAATAGTTTTACTCTCTTACCAAAGGTCATATTACTGTTACAACTCATTTTTTTATTTACCAGGGTATTAAGTTACTGAGTTAGTTGAACATAATTACAAAATTAACTGACTCAAACATATTTAACTGATTGAAATGTGTGGGTTTAAGCATAACTGCTTAGAAGAACTAACTTAATCCTAATAACTATCATCTTAACCATGATCTATCCAAGTGGGAGCGTGTTAGCATCAGAGGAACTTAAAGCAAAACGAAATAAATAAAATGGATTTACATGTGAACCTTTGATAGAAACACTGACAAAATAACAGAGCATCACTGTCCTCTTATATTTTGTCTATTACCTTGATACATACATATATAAATCATTTTCGTCTTCTTCCTAAAAATGTTCGTTGACATCCGAGAGTAAACAGGCATTAACACACTCGGAAAATCACCTTGGTTTCCTTACAGGTATTCTATATTAAAATATATAATGATGAAACATGATAACCACTCAATGGTGGTGAATATCATAGAACTCTGTGGATTGAACGATGCAGATTCTATGTGAGATCATCAACTCAATCAAGTCTACTGAGCATATCACACGTCTTTCTTTGGCAGTTGGGATCAGAGTGGTTGTCTGGAAGAATGAGAAGAAAAAAACAAATTTAACTGTAAATCAAATGAGATAAATTTACATAATACGAAAAAAAACCAGCACTACCTTGTTGACAAGTTTGAAGACTAGATTTTAAACATGTTTTCTTTAACGATTAGACAAAAAATTTCAAAATCCTACACAAAATTAATGTAGGTCAAGTTCACTCGTTTTAGTATATATGAATGCTGAGTTAAGTCGCTTAGTTACGTAACGCTTGGGATTTCACGTTAAAAACATCAGCTGGCCCACACAATGGCGTGGGGTGGGGGATTAAAGCATGACTACTCCACAGGAGATCGACTAACGTTATGTCTTATTCAAAAGTACATCTGGGGAAACATTCCAATGTTCCCGTTGCCTAGGCAACAACAGCTAGTCAAGTAAGAAAGCATGCCCAAGTGAAGTTTATGGTGTAAGTATCCGAAACAGCGACAAAATATTTACAGTCAACAGTGAAATCCAATAATAATAATTTTCTTTTGTTACTCCAGAATGAGGGTGATTTGCAACAGAATGTTTCGAATCAGGAAATGAAATCCTACACAATACTAAAACGATATCACGAGAAAAAAGAAAATGCAAAGTACATTTTTTTTCTTGCTAATATGCAAATCTAAAAAAAAATGAAAGTCCTAGTTACAAGGAATTCACTGTGAATTCTATTAACACTACTTACAAACCGTAGTTTCAAATATAATTCACAGAACAATATTGCCCATCCATACACGTTTTTAATTAAATACAAACTGAGCAACCAGGGTTAACAATCATGACAAAAATAATACAATCTTTTTAAGTTATTCGTTTGAAACGATAACAAAGCAGCGAAAAATATAAATAAAATTTAACTCCCAATTGCTGTAACTAGATGAGCAAAACGTGGAAAAAAATGAGCTGATATTAGAACTTGAGGGGAATGAGTATTGAGTTGCCTTGCATATAAATTTCCACATATTTAAAAAGTCGTAAATGTTTTTGTATTGGCAGCAGCATCCATTATATGGGTGGAAGTTGATCGCCCTTACATTCGTTGAGAGTTCCTTTATATTGTGTATGGTTCCCAATGATAAGTTGGATCAACTTCCAATTTTCCGACACTAGCGACACCTAGTGCAGTAGCGGGTCTAGATCTCGGTTCCAGTGTTAAACTGGTTTCTATTTCTATCTTGCAAGGAACGCTCAGTTATGTTCTTGTAGTACTGTATCGTTAGGCTAGACGTAAAATGCTCGTTTCTCGCGCGAATGGTTTTACCAACTTACGTCGATATTTCTCCTCCCTTTGAGAGCGGAATCACGATACAATGATACGATACGCATGTGCACATGCTTTGATTTGAATGCATTGTGGTAATTACAGTCGTCTTTGTTGTTATTTCTTCCAAAATATTATCATCAATAAAGAAACAGCAAAAAAAATGTACCAGCTGATAAAGCAGGAATCTGAAGAGACAGAACTGTATTCAATCATAAACACTACAAAATGTACAATGGTACAACATAATGGCTTAAACATCCCATCTGTTTCAACGCGCCTAATCTTAATAGCATCGTTTTCCGTGTTTCGACTTGCTCGTGCTCACTGAAATATTTCATAGAAACATAATACTAAAACACAAAAAAAGGGCTGGTACCTATGTTTGTTCAGCTGTAATGTTGATAACACACTGAACAAGCACCGATGTTATGCTACAAGGTTAAATAGATACTTACATTACGACACAACGGTAGGACTCCCTTACAACTCTTCTAGCTTGATCTATGTGTACAAACATGCTACTTCTATACTTTACTGATATATTAGCATGCACATTCCTCGGATTTTTAATTTTGTAAGAACCGGTTCTTTTACTTCGTGAATAAATAACACAACATTGTAGTTAATAACCATTCCTCCAGTTATTGTCGTTTTTAAAGAGTTTAGAAAGTTATCACTAAGATTCTATACCATTTACTTAAACCCAACAGGACTTGTATATTTGTGTGTAAATTAAACATATAAAAAGAAAGTTATCGTTTTGAAATCCACGATTCATATTTTTTGTTCAGACGTTGGACTCAGTTATGAGTACAAGTCCCCTATCTCTCTTCTTCATCTTCTTTTTATTTATTTATCTATACAACAGCAAAAACAACACAATCACTAGTTAAGGACAAACAACGAAGTTCTTACTATATATTTATACTTATTTTTGTCTCCTTAGGATACAAAAAACACTTAGCGTTTTTGAGGCCTTGCTACCTAAAATATATATTTTGAGCATTACACAATGCAATCATTTTCACGCCCCGCCCCCCAGTGGCACAGCGGCATGTCTGCGGACTTACAACGCTAGAAACTGGGTTTCGATACTTGTGGTGGGCAGAGCACAGATTGCCCATTGTGTAGCTTTGTGCGTAACTACAAACAAACAAACAATCATTTCCACATTGTATTTATAGCATGAATAAACTGAATCATATAGTTGACGGCTTTTGTTAAATAAAAGAAAAAAACACGTCTGAAACGGCTCATTATATTACTTACATGGATCTCCACCCTACAACATCAGATCCCCTGCACTTGTTTTATGCACAGCCGATGTACCATACGGCAGGGGGGCGTTTTTTATGTTTGAAAGACATTTATATGATGATCACAGTGACACGCGCGTCTTAATCGAGTAAGATCAAACCAACGCATTCACATTGAACAAAATACAAAACACTGATTTCAAACCCTCATCCTTCTACATTTATATTATTAATCAAATAAATGATGCATACTGTTAATAGTTTTCCACGGATCTCATAACGAAAACAGGTCTAATATCAAGCTTCCACCTTGTGTTACAGCGTCTATTGATGACATGTAACACGTGGTTTGTTCATATATAACAAGCGACAGCTACGGTAGTATGCAATTAATATCTAATTAGTGTTTTTAGATATGCATGTTTTCCTTAGATGACTCTCTACATTTTGTTACTCACTATCCATCGATATTGACATGTGGTCTGTTACATTCTCTAGAAAACAGAAGGTTTGAACCTGAGAACATCTTGTTTTACAGTTTGTTTGTTTGTAGTTAAGCACAAAGCTGCACAATGGGCTATCTGTGCTCTGCCCACCATGGGTATCGAAACCCGGTTTCTAGCGTTGTAAGTTCGCAGGCATACCATTGTGCCACTGGTGGAGGGCTTGTTTTACAGAAGCGTAAACTACTAAAAAAATCATTTTTTAACGATTAACACAGACATTCGTTTATTTATTGATTTTTTTTCTTGTTTACAAAAAAATAATAATAATAAAATAAAAACAATGAGATTAAGTTAATTACTTATACTCAACAATACACCTTTAAATGCACTACACATTGTTCAAGTAAAACTCTGTATTACAAAGGAGAAATCACACATGACGATCTTTTAATTAACAGATTAATTTATTGCATCTCTTTATAAAATTCAAGAAACAAATGGCCATTGCATCTTTACGGCGTTACAATTTCGGTGTCTAATAAGCAAGTCTGTCAAAGATATATATCTAATTCCAGACAGACTAACCTTGGTCTGTTAGCACCGTCATCGGTTCTGCAAATAGGGCTACTTACCACCTGACAGCGGAAGCCTACCTGCATGATTAACTTTCCGGAACACTTAAAAATGTTGCAGAATATAACAATTTCAAGATCTTTAGCATAATAACAGACCAATATTATATCTCAAATGAGCAACTACTTTACTTTTCATCACACACACACACAAATGATATAATTATTCCTAAACCATTTTTTTTTGTAGTCACGCCTTTAAAATTATAACAAAGCAAATACAAAAACATAAAAAAGTCAAAAATGAGTTAGACAATAGTGGAAACCTCATTCTCAATTTTTTGTAGCCTTAACATTTATTATGGATGCGTATCTCATCATACGATACGTACGTGGATATTGATGCCGCGATACAAAACGTATCTAGACACAGTTTGTTTGTTTTGTAGTTGAGCACAAAGCTACACAATGGGCTATCTATGCTCTGCCCACCACAGGTATCGAAAACCGGTTCCTAGCGTTGTAAGTCCGCAGACATACCGCTGTGCCACTTGGGGGTATCTGGATACAGAAGTTTTACCAACGGTTTGTTACAATGTTTGACAGTCTCGTCTGTAATTTATTATTTTAATAACATTGTTTTATTTAAGTACTTCACACTTTACAGTGTATTTTTCAAATTCTCAGGTTTGATCAACTAAATGCTGCTGGTAAGAGAAGTAAAATATATAAAAAAAGAAGTTAATATCTGTCTATCTATTTTCTTATTGTTAATTTGTTACATTATTTTGAACGTAATGTTTTTGATAAAAGAAAAGAAGACAACATGTAGTATTCAATATTCATCTTCCTTTATTCAATCATTAATTTTAGCAATAATACTTTATTAGAAATTCTGATTTTTTTTTTGTACAAAAAGACTGTTTACTGAAAGCTTGCCAAATTTCGTAAAGATACATCTTTAATATTTATTATAATAGGACAGCACATTAGGAAGTTGGATCACTCGTGGCTCAAATTGAACACAAAATGATATATATATATATATATAATTAGAAACATAACATGTGTTCATAAAATAATAACATTTACAAAAATATAATTAGTTTCGGGTATCGTTTTTCTGGAATACGAGATTATCAAAGTTTTGTTTATACAGAATTCTAACTAATTTTTGACTAACTTCCTGGCTTTTAGCACGCTAAGCAGTGCTCTTATTTAAAAAATGAAAAAGGAAGAAATCTGCCAAGCACACAAGACTATGCATGACGTTAAGCGTCTGCGGTTAGACTCACTCAATACTAGATCTAGGGGGAGTCCAGCGCATAACGTCGGAGATTTCTTTAGGTATCACCTGAATTCGTCTACTCGCTGTCTTATGGAAATGTGTATGTAATCTTGGGATTTCCTGACCACCTATATATATACGTCTTTTGGCTCAGTACATGCTCAAACTGTAAAGCCTGTTTAAGTTACTTCCTTTTCTCCCACCACCTCTATTTCCTTTCCCCCCTATCCTAATCATTTTTTTATCTGTACTGTATTGTAGACTGTAATGACAGGTTCTTAAAGCACATCTTGTACTGAGTAGTAAATAGCACTTATTCTTTCGCAAAAAATATCTACATTAAGTTCAGGCTTGAGCTAATTATTTACTTAATACGAAAGTAATGCTTACACTTATTAACTTATATAACATACTTGTCTGGGTCCATCTTTAATCGCACCACATAATCTTGTTCACACAACTTAAATAACCAACAGATCAAATTATTGTAATTTTTTGTAAGACATGACTGAATACTACATGATTAGCTCACTATAGACTTACGTATTTGTATCTTTGTCTACGTGGAGTATACATATTTTTCATATATTATAACACTGTAATGATTGATTTCAGTTTATTAATTTATTCACAGTTCTGCTTATATGTGTGTGTGGAAAGGTGATGTAGGCGCGGTTACTTCAACGTGTCGTTTAGAAACCTCTTTCTGCCAACCAATTCTCAAAATTTATGAGTGAAAGCAAATAATATGTCAACCATACTACATCTGCCATATGAAGTGCCGACGAGGCCTTTCGTCTAATACCATGGCTCATCAGACTGGCTGAGATGTGAAAGACATAATCAATTTTCATGAACGACTGTTATGGTGAGGACTAGATTACGTAAATGAATTGTAATTATTATCAGGTTTAGTTAAGTCACTTACAAATCAGATTTAATACGGTACGTCAAGCAGACAAATATCATACGACACTATAAGGAACTACACCATTCCCCTCTCTTTCTTTTTGTAAACGAAATTTATAATACTTGATCTCCACTTAAAAAATCTGTATAAAATTCAACATTTTGATATTTCTTTTTGCGAATAATATCAACCATAATGTTCCAAACTATAGTTGAAAGATCATAATGATACCTTTTATACTTGATCTGTACACAATAAATGGAAGTTCCATGGTTTTTATTACCCAAATGTATACCTTACATAACGTTGTTTGAATATAAAATAAAATTATTTCAATTATTACTCTCCATTTACCGTTCGTGGTTTCCTACTATGATGATGTCTACAAGGCTCCCTTGTGATTGTATATGATTATATATAAAAACATATATTCTGTTTTAAAAAATCGTAGTTTTCTAACACAAAAGAACACACTTGGGGTCTGTGTTGTACCCACCTTACTAAATACGTAATGCATAATTTACTTCCTAATTTAGTTTTTACTAGTGGAGAGCTACAAGAACATGTAGATCACTCTGTACCAAAACGACACTGATGGAGCAAGTGCCCTTATACCATGGGCAAGAAGACGGACATTTCCACTTGACTAGCTCTCATTATGTAATCTAATGTAAAAATAAGTTATCAAGTGCATACTAGAATATTTTCATGAAAACGAATTGTGTACATAGATTACAGATCACAACCTAGTATTGATGTAAAAAACAAATCAACTCAGTAGTTTGTGGTTAACGTAGAGGCTCCCAAAAGGCTTCACCCTGCTTTCACAATGAGTACAAGTTTCACAACAAAGATGAAAGATATTTAAGACTATCATCTTACCGCGCCTATCACAGGAGTTGATATTACGTTGATGCCCGTGAAACCTTTGTAACTGATGGGGTTTCCTTCATTGCACAGTCCGTGGAATTTTCTACTGCGTGTTGAGCCTTGGTTTCTGGTGTCTTTTCCACCGTTACAGTACTTATGGGGGTTTCCGAGCTTCGTTTCCTGTTCCGCAGGGCCTCTATAAGTCATAGTAAAACAATTAAAAACCAGAAACCAAAATTATCATTTATAGTTTACAAAAATGCTGAGTAACGAAAACGTAAAATTATCTGGTGAGGCACATTACTCTCAAATGTTCCTTTCTTTTAAGGGCAGAAATATTAAAATGAATGATGTATGTATAACAACGAAGCTTATTTGATCAAACACTATTACCCAAAGACACGTTAATAAACATTAATCTTATATAAAAAAAAATTATACCATTATTTCTGGATTGTCACCATCAAAATTAAACGCTTATTAAGACACTCTCAAGATAAGAACATACCTAAGAAACTTTTAATTGTAGATTAATAAACACGTAATAGTAGCATTTATCTAGAAAACTTTACAACAACGAGGAATTTCTCTATCTTACAACGAGAATGACAATTATTTTCAAAAAGTATACTGTCCACAGTCAATATTCTTACCAGCTTCCAAATAGGTCCTCATACAATTCAAATTTGAATACAATTATCATGCTTGTCTATAGCAGAACCTACAATAGTCTAAATCCTAACATTAAATTATAGAAAAAATTTTGTGTCAATATTGTGTTTGTAATCGTATTTCTAATTAACGGATACAATAAATTTCTAAACAAAAAAAACCAGCAATGAAATTATGCGAGTGATTGAGAATCACATTTTTGAAAATTATAAAGTTATCCCAAATTACAAGTTATACTTGGTACTTTCTAAATGCTACAGCTGTAAAGGAAACTCAAAAAAAGTGTGCAGTGTTTAATCTCTACTACATTTTGTGCAAAGTAAATGATGTTATCGTCAAGTCCTCCTTGTGTACAAATTAAAAGAACTTACATAAAGGCCTCAATATAGAAGCTGAAACATCTTCCCACACTACTAGAAACGGGTAGAAGCAGTCAAGTCTCGACTTGCATATAATCTTCAGTGTGGTAAAATCTCTATAAAGTTTGACATCATGCGATCTTTACAAAAATCCAGAACTTAATACTTCTGTTTGCTAATTTTCTATGTATATAATAAACATAAATTGTCAACTTCTCATTGACAATACGTATAACGGTATTCGACAAAGGCACTGAGGTCTTTTAGTCATGTTAAAAACTGCCTTAGCCTTACTGATACTAATGCAGTGAAATTCAAACCTCCACAATAAACATCTAGCAATATCATATAGCCATAGATCTTGAAAAATGGCCTATTTAAAAACCTTGAACAGCTGTAGTGTTATAATTACAATACTTCTATACACCATAATACGTGTTTTTCTTAGTAAGTGGAACCTATTCACTTTGATACCTTAAAATCAATGAAAACAAGCAGGGTGAAGGGAAAAAAAAAGTTTTTTGCTACCCGCATACTGTTGTAGGCCCTCTTATTCAAGTCTAAAAGCTTTTTCACTAGTCAACCAACCTTGAACTCCCCGTTTTAAATTCAGCATAACTTACAAACAACAAAGACCCCAGCAATAAGATACACTTTTACGTGTTTAACGTTTTAAGATAAACTAAAAACGTGAGAGTTAAGTGAGATCAAACGCCAATCGGGGCATTGTTCTAATCCTGTTATTCTAAGATTTTATGTAGCACGCCAAAACTCCACAGTCAGTTGCAACTCACGATAAACATACACCAGTAACCGATTCTAGATAAAAAAGAAAAAGAGGATCATACCCTTGAGCTAAGTTCGTGAATTTGACATGGTCCCTGACAGCGTGGCGCCTAGCCACGGGCTACAACTATTAAGATAACACAACCTGCGCCAGCAAAAGTTATTTGTTCGTTACGCCTCGATGAAATCATGTGGCCAGACACAATTAAGAATTGATCAACTTCAACGTTCTGCTTTCCATCAGATATTTACAAAAAGAGCCTATTAAATGTGAACAGTACTTGAACTAGACTATAACCCCCACCCCCCTCGTATTGGTACATAAAGCAGCTGATTAAAAATAGAAAATAATAAAAATAAACCAGAAAAACCGTGCCATTGAAACACCGTCAACAAAGATACGTGTTTCTAGCTGGAATTAAACGCGCATAACACTATAAACGAATTGGTTGTTTACTAGATATAATGATGAAATATAAAATAACGTGATAATAATGCAACATAAGCACCACTGAAATCAAACTTAGCAGGTTGAGAAATCCTTGATTATGTATAATTACACCTTCAGTTTTCGGTTGGAATGACAATTTCAATTTAAACGCGTGTAATAACCTTGTTTATTCATAATAAAACCGATATAGAACTAACGTAAGACGTATTTCCTCCTATTTTTATACACATCGTTTACTGTGTCCCGTCACTACAATAATAATATTGTGAATGCAGTTACCATTTCTCACACTAACAGTAACAGCAAGGGTTATTCACCAAGTTTATTACTGTGTGATAGAGCCTAGGTTATTGTGGTATTATATCTAGTGCTGGCGTCAGAGCTTCGTACTTCAGTAACTAGGAAAAATAGGCGAATAACACTTTAACAACCCCATTGTTATTAGAACCTCTAAAGATATAAAACTCAACCAACCAAAGCATAATGTGACAAACAAGTTAATTATTACTATTACAAACCGTTATCGAGAGCGTACATAGGCAGTTCGGATATTTTATCCTATGGCCTATCTTAATAAGAATGAGATAACAATCACGCATATTACATTAATTTAAATTAAAATAATGCAAAATATGTGTGAAATTCATACGTTGGCCATACATTCTGAAGACCTGAAATATTTAAATTATTACGCATTCAAACAGGAATATCACTTCCTTTGAAAATGAAGGAACAAATCGTCTGAAGTCACGTGAATTCTCTAGCCAATTCAATACCAATCATCAGGTTACCGTGCGCTTTAGGCTACGCTCCAGAATAAGAGATGACATGTTTGACGCTTTTTTCAGAAGTAATTATAAGTTCAAATTAAGCCTTAACAGATGAACGTATCTAATACTTAGCAAAGTATTTTGTATGAACAAAGGAAGCCAACTTATAACATGTCAAGTCCTGGCGTTATATCAAACCTTAAGCTGGAACTTACTTGAAAATATAACTGAAAGGTTATACTATTATTAATCATATTTGAAGTAAAAGGTAAAAATACACATGCCTCATAATACTCAAACTAATTTACTGATGTTTTCTTTCTTCTAAAGCATCACTGATTTATGTTGACAAATAAGATTATTTTTCGTATAATTTTAATAATAATATACTGGCTTACTGTAAAATTTTACCGTTACAGTAGTAATATTAACTGTGCAACAATTTTTAAATATTCCAATAACTAGGAAGTTTTTTAAAGAGACATATAATCGTATTGTTTTGCACACTATATATCACGTAATAAATACATCATGTGGAAACGAAGTTTTATAATATTTATAATAAATACATGTTTAAACACAAAGACAGTTTCTCTTTCTTCAAAATAAAAGTTAAATGCAGGCCAAGAACAGAAATATTATTAATACAGCTTTGAAACTAAGTTACACATATGTTTTCGTTTACTGGGTGTTTAGGCTAGTAATGGCAGTTATACGATTCACTCAAGTCCTGGCTTATTCTTGCAAAATATGTAATTACTTATTATCGTGTAAAAATCTTATTTTCAATCAATCAAGTACATACAAATCTGTCCCAAATCCTAGCTTATTAATTTATCCCTGCAAATTATTTATCAATTACTCGTTATTCTTTAAATATTATGATTAAATATAAGGATTGGGCTGAACATTTAATTTAAATTTAATTAAAATAAAAAAGTTCGATTTGCATGGCCAAAACGCCCTGTCACGGTAGTCATCGTTTACATTATATATGTATCTAATAAAAACGTTTCCAGTTGATTATGTTTGTAAAATTTAAATTATGTAATGAGGTTTGGATACAAGACGATCAATTACAAATAAATAAGTAATACGCTCCTTAGTAAGACAAAAACAGGAATCGTCTCACTTGACCTTAAACTGAATAAAGTACTCTATTAGTATTCATTTCTCCGTTCTCATAATCGTAGCCAAAACTGATCAAGACTTTTTGCCGTCCAAAACAGCTGATCGTGATTTTTTCCCCTTTTTATTTGTTTCCTTATGTCGGGCTGGTATCATAAAGTAAACCAAACAAATACATTTATAAACCTCTATTTTAGGTGTAATAATATACTGAAATTTTCGTAGGATAATAAACACAACATACGAGATAAAAATTGCAAAATTAAACTAGCTTTGTTGTGACACTTGTATACGGGCTACAACAGTATATACTACAACTAGTACAAGTCATTTTTAAACAAAGTGTACAACATAAGTATACACAACATATTTAAGACATTATAATTTTTTCCATTCTTATATATCAAACGTTTTTTGTTTTTGTTTTTTGCAACAGTAAGACAGAATTTGGGCGAATCATGTATCCTAGTAATAATAATTTTTATTCAATCTTGTTTCCTATGACTTTTACTTTTATCTCATGAGCATGAAGACTTTTCGAACTATATAGCTTCATTATATAGTAAATTTGTAGCCTAAACACAATACTGGATTATTTTTATACAAACTACATTCACATTATCCTGTAACTATAGGCGTTTTTCTGTGCTCTAGAGATTACAAATAGCAAAAAAAAAAACCACCAGTTTCCAATTTCACTATAGTACTATTAAGTATTATTTATTATTATTTACTATTAGTAGGCTTAGCTGGTAGTTTTGGTTGTTTGATGATGTCATAAAATTTCAAACTGTATTAAACTTGAATATGAAGAAACTTTAATTGTAATTTGTATGAAACTTATCACTAACTGGAGAAAAGTTTCATACAGTTACGTTACAATGTTGCTCACAGAAACAGTAACAAATAACATTACGTCATTAGTTTGTGTGCAACTTTAAACTGAATACATGTTTACGACAGCATCAAAACACCAAAAACAACCAAGTTACGAGTGAAGAATGACTCAAATATTCAACATAAATCAGCCAAACTACATCATAAAAATTTAAAACTTTCATTAATAGTTTAAAATTTAATACACTGGTAGGCCTAGCGTGATTCAATTGAAATAAAAATAAAGTTGCACAAATACTGAAATAGTCAAAAAGTTGTATAGAAATAGTATTCTCTAGAAAATAATAATATAGACAAGGTGGATAACATTTATTTGAATTGAAAAATATAACTTAATCTATACAACGTATTAGGCCTAATTAGTTTTTAGAACTTACGAGTCAGATCCTTTTTTACTGAACTTTAAGTTCTTAGAATTTAGACGGTGTCTAAAACTTATAGTACCTATACAAACTTCGTTCAATAATAATAAAAATTCGACGGAAATAATACAAATGTGCGGGACAAATGATATGGTATCGACTAATCGAGTCACATGTACAGAAAACTGAGAAATATTGTTACTTAATTATTGATAAATATACTAACATTGTGAATAAAACTATAAAAACTAAAAGACGATACATAACACTGTTAGTGTTACTGTTACACTCTTGCTCACGTACTTGCACAAACTAAATGGATATCCAACTTCAAGGAATTAGGCCTACTGCAAAGTAACTTAACCTACCAGTACCATTAGCTTACCTGTAATCTTCTTCTGTTTTAATGTGGTGTTCCCGCTTTTATTTGCAACTGCTGGAGACGAGGAGCACGTTACAGCAGTTTTGAATTTTGCCGTATCCGAGTCTAACGTTAGGGTTTTAGTAACACAGTCAACTTCCCTAGATTTGTCACAGTCCTTCAACCATTTTAGCTCATACGACGGGTGTACCTCCCTCGTATCTTCTATACGTGTCCACACATATCGACCAAGCATTGGTGTTTCAGTGTTGAAGTCAAAATTCCATCTTTCTTTATCGTTATCTTGAATGTTGCTAAACTCTTCGCGGACAAATTTTAAATTTTCTTCATGATCAATGGGGCCAAATAGCGCTCGTCGAGCTTTTAAGTGCTGAGGACTAGAGCAAACTCCCGCTGCCTTACCGAAGTTGCCGGACATAATTTCTCGTATCATCAGGTTCGTATCTCCCATAATCATTTCTAGCATTCAAAATCCGGATTCCTTCTATCCCGGAATCAAGTTGCCTCGTACACTATCTAACGTATCTAATTAAAGTGCTCGTGCTGGTACAACGTCTTTTCAAGCAAAAACTTGCCTACGCACAACATGAAGCGCTGCCCGTCTTCAGCCTGAGCAGCCGTTATTTTTATCGACCAATCTTTGCATTTCTATTCCTATGGGATTAGATAGGCGGGAAAACCTTGCGTCAGCTGATAAAGAACAAAATTTTGATTGGCTGAGAACCCACGCTTGCCGTTAGTGTCGTAAACGCCTAGCAGTTTGGATGAAATATCATAACCGTTTGCTCTGAAAAACAATATAATACTAATAATTAAATATATAATTTCCGAATTAATGATTTATTTATTTATTAATATAAAAAACTTACTATCACTCAGTTTCAACAAATAGATGGAATTTAATAAATGGAATCAATAATTTGTTAATTTACTAAAAAAAAAAAAAAAGAACAAAAGCTTATCATTGGATGTAAGTTAGGTATTTACACGAAATAATAGAGAACAATAACTATGGCAATGCCGTATCATAGCAGATATCCTGTCATAAGTTCAGTGAAATTTAGATCTCTTATTTATAGAAAATTAATCCGAACAAGTGTTAGTCATTTCTCTCTATGTTAAATAATTCTCTATTTAATTAGACTTGACCAGAAACTTACCAATCACGCAGTGAAATGTAGAATTATACATGGACTTTTCTCTACGTTAAAATACTTTTATTTGCGAGATTTCGGCCCTCTTACCGGAGCCTCTATTATTTCGTGTTTGTTGCCCAATGAAAGCTCGCAAATAAAAGTATTTTAATGCAGAGAAAAGTCCGTGTATCAGTCTACGTATTAATTTATGTACGTTATGAGTCTTAAACAACAATAATGCATTGAAAGTGTGTATGTATATACATGTAGTATTTCAATACTGAATGCGTAGTTGAGCTTGCTTATGTTTTTCATAACACTTCAACTGCTCGAAAAGGTTGGGTTGTTTAAATTATATAAGGACATTTTACCTGTGAATTATGGTTATTAAGCTATAACATTTATTTTTATCAAATTAATTGTTTATTTTAAACAAAACCAATATTCCTATATGCTTTGTTCAAGTCAAACGTGTGTAACCGGATAACTTCTTAACAAGGGATAACCTAAAGTAACATTTTTAGCTACGAGAGGGCGCTATGTAAGGACCAGGTGGAAGCCCATTAGTGACTAGCGTTCATCCGCTTGAGAAAACTAGGAAACAGTTTCAGAAAACAACAGGTTTTAAATAATTTTTGAGCTAAATACGAGAAGCAAGTTTCTTTCACAATAAATTCGCTGCTGTCAATTTGATATTATTAAACCTAAACTAGAATCGAGGCTTCTTTTTTCTTGAATTTCTAATATTTGTAAAACTGGTTCCAAATAGTAGAAGTTACATTTATCGTTTCACTCAATTCTGAGGAGTATATATATATATATTCTATAAAATAACAATTATTTAATCCAATAGAGCTCCCTATTGAATTCTACGTCATAGAAAAACAAATTATTAAATACGTGTTGCACAGATAGCACTCTATCTTTAAACTTAGAAACAATATTTTAAAACTAAAGATTATTTGTTGATTCCATGAGGTGAATTAGTTTTGTAAGCAAAATTTTGGAAATGCGCGAGCTTCAGAATATTTTCTCAGGTCTCGTTTTTGGAGAAGATTTGAAAACAATAAAAAATTCGTTAAAATATATTTCACAAAATATCCTGTATTGTTTAGATAACAACATAGCATTTTCACTGTAGCCTCACTTACGCGCATAAACAACATACAGTAACTACATCTATACTTTGTTACTTTTAACAAGGGTGTGATAATACAATGAACAATATTACTCCAGAGTCACTTAAATACACTACACTCACCAATATTTGAGCAGCAGAGTCGCCTCTAGTTTTCACAACAAAAAACGACTTTTGTATGACAGACATCGAAAGATATTTAACAAAGCTATGCTATATACCTTTCTTCTACTCTCCCCTTCACTATCTGTCAAGGCTTGCAGAGTGGGGGCGGACTAGAGTAGACTGGTCACGTGGCCATTCACGCCACACTACCAAAACTGGCACGCGCCATATGGTCCAAGCAAATCACGGTTCTCTGCCACTGCCAAACTCTCACACATATAGGAACTTCGACTTGCTGTTCTTGCAGCACAACCAGCGTGTGGCTGTTATCAAATCTTTAAAAACAAAGTAACCAACGTGAACGAAAATTAAATGAGTCGCAACTAATTTCATTGATATCACGCAATAAAACTTGTGCTAACTTCTATTAATTTTATTTATATAGATCTGATGCATTTGATTTATCAGCGTATAAACAAAAATAACTAAATATTTACTTCAAGCAAATAAAATCCTTTTAAAATGGCATATTTTAGTTCCTTTAGGGCTGTAAAATCTCAATATTTCTTGTTCTCTTTAAAATGGAATTTATATAAGAGAACTTTTTTTTGGACTAGAGTCAAGGATGCGAGCAACAAGAAAGCTCAGTTATTGGGAAAAATAATTGCGAAAATATTACAAACACTAAAAAAGGAATCGATTCATACCAGAAAACATTTAAAACCCGCATAAAACAATATTTTATGGGACTGAGACCATTGGTTAGTAGTAAGAAATCATAAATAACATCAATTGTGGAATTGAGACGATTGGTAAGTAGTAAAAATCGTAAATAACATCAGGTGTGACAACAGTTTTAGTAGAAACATTTTAGTGAGTATTACAGTGTTATACACAGAAATACGAGCGTTAGTACGTTAACATGAAGATTTCGCATAGTACCACATAAGACATGAGAATTATAAAGAGGAATGTATAGCAAACTGTACAGAAGAAGAAGATTGTCAAAATTTAATGTCTGTGAACTAACTTCATATTAAAGTAAATTAAAAAAGAAAAAAAGAAGCGACAATCGTTCTAGCCTAGTGGGCGCGATGAACACTACAACTTGAAACATCTAGCATATATAATAATATAAGCTCCGCCCTATTTTTTGTTTGTGCACCGAGCCAAGTCTTTGTTTCTTCTAGTAGCTTGATTATATATATACACACACACACACACATATATATATATGTTCACGAGGCGCGTGGTAATCAATGTTGTGCACGCGTTTACGGTATTTAATAGTGGCTGCTTGCCAAGCTCCTCCTGCCAACCTTTCTACCGGCAACAAGTAATTCTGCTAATATAAATATAAGACCCATATGAAGTGGTCAAAGAACGGATATGCGGATGTATGTATATGTAAACTTATCAGATTCTACAGCTTTTTACCAAATAGATAAGAATCAGCAGGTAAATTTTAACTGCAGAAAAATTATTATTTTGTGTGCGTGTGTTAGGAAAGCAGAATAAAGCATACTGTTTATTTATTGCTGTTCACTAACCTTCCTCAATTAAATCACTTATTACGTTTTAAACTTATCCGTATGTAATAATAGTAATAGTAATTTTCTTTAAGAAAAGGAAATTAAAGATAAAGTAAAATATGTGTTATTATTATACATATATATATGAATTTTAAAACTCTAGAATTGTTAATCTTATAGTTATCTTGTTTTTGAGCGCTTCAGTAATTTTCAATGACTTACCAGACTGTCTTTCTCACAGATTTAGTTTTTTTTGTACTTTGTGTGTGCGCGCGCTAAAAATGAAAGCTATATTATGATAATGTGAGTTCCATCTTAACTATTTATCAGCGTATGCCCCATTAACATCAAAATCTAATATCTTCCATAGAACCACAGAAGATACTGTGAGTACATATTCTTATCTTTATGATATAAACAAAGGGTCATTTAGTAGCAAACACTCAACAGTTGGTTTTAAATCACATGACATTACACCGAAAATCAGTGCATCACATGTGAAGAAATGTCGATACAAATCGGTTCATGACAAAGTGAACAGTGCAGGAAAAAGTTTGAAAAGAAGATGGATATTTCACGAAAGGTAACTTTTACTCTATAAGGGGGAGGGTCCTACCTGCTTTCATTTTAGGTGCTCCCAAAAGGTAAAAAACACAAATAAACATAGTAGAAGCGACAATTAGTCAAAGGTAATTTTTCTATATGGTTCTACCGTGCAACAACAAACTATAACGCACCAAATGTCATCTATGTTTCTCAAAAAATCCTGGACCTAATTCTTATAATTAGATGTTCACCAATTTTAATTACTATCTTGATCGAAATTAACATCGATCAGTAAAAAACGGTCTCCGACAGACTCAGCACGAGATTTCCTCAAGGAACATTTTGTCCATCTTCCTTTTTTAGATTTTTCGGGCAAATCAAACAGGGCTACCTCATACCAACTACTAAGATAATTTTAAAGTTAAATTTAGAGTGGCCGTTTACCTTACAGTTTAACTATAATATGCCCTAGTGTAATGTAGTAAATCTTTGTCTAAAATAATAAACTGTAGGATACTTATCTACATGATGATGTGGAACATGTTAATGTGCAAGACACATTTGCATTCTTCTTTACAACAAAAAATATGCACCCAAAACAATGGACTCTACAAGCAGCATGGTCAATATAAAATCAACAAGCATAGTTAAAACATAATATAAACATATACCTTATTACAGCGAATCCTAAACACATTAACTAGGAAAAACGGTATCGGACGATACACGTTGGCTGGCAAATCTTAACATGCACACATTGGAGGACAGTTCATCAACATGGGAAAAAGAAAATTGTAACAGAATTTTAGACTGTTGTTAGGTACTGAGCATTTGTGGTAACTTAAGTTGATAAAAAGTGCCTTACTAGCAGTTTATGTAGAGTTAACCTCTTTAGTTCAGTTAGTTGTTTGTTTGTTTTGAACTTCGCGCAAAGCTACACGAGGGCTATCTGCGCTAGCCGTCCCTAATTTAGCAGTGTAAGACTAGAGGGAAGGCAGCTAATCATCATTACCCACCGCCAACTCTTGGGCTACTCTTTTACTAACGAATAGTGGGATTGACCGTCACATCATAATGCCCCCACGGCTGAAAGGGCGAGCATGTTTGGTGGGACAGGGATTCGAACCCGTGACCCTCAGATTGTGAGTCGAGTGCCCTAACCACCTGGCCATGCCGGGCCAGAATAGTTGTTTGATCTACGAAAAATTCATAGTTCGAATCCACTTGCGGGAAATACGAAAAATTGATATCTGGTTAGGGGTTGTTCCATGACTCTGATGTAAAGCCTGTGGGCGGGTTTGTTTGTAAGAGTGGAAGAATATGGTAGTTAGAGTTGATAAAATAAGTGTTTAGGGATCAATGTCTCAATGAATAGATCACTGGTGTGGCACGCGAAAAGTCCTAAGCTCATTCCTGCTTACAGGATATGAAAAATTCGGGTTACTATACTTTCATCTAGATTTATTTGGATGGATAAATTATTCGAAAATTTATCATGAAATAAGAGCTTGTTTAATGTATTGCGGATATAAAAACGTAATAATTCACTTGTACAAATTTTATAATTTGACAGAAGCAAAAGCCAGTGGCGGATTTAAGCCTAAATGGCTAGTCAGCTAAAAAAAAAGGGGGGGTGGCGGACTTTATTCATACCAATATTATACATCAAGCGAAAGCAAATAATTTCAACAGATAGCTGAATAAATTGATTGAATTAATAAATGAAATTAAATAAAATTTATTTCTAAAAACAATATATATATATAAAGGGGGTCCGGTTAGCTTTAGCTGACCATTAAATCCGCCCCTGGTAAAAGTGTCTTCTTAAGTTTACTTTTCAACAAATTAGAATAATTGCTTTTTAAGTAAGCAAAGTCTCACTGCGCTATGTCACTTGTTTACGTGAAAATTAATTATCTCCTAAAGTCTTGGTCTTGACTTGAAAGTTTAAGACTAGATAACTTTTAAATATTTAATAAAATATTAACAGTAAAAAGACACTTATGATTAAGACTCTTCTAATTCTGTAAAAAAATGTTTGATTATCTTTAGCATCGAAATAATCATTCATGAGAAGTCTAGCAGTCTATTTCTGGAGTATTTATGAAATTATCGATAAAAGTCATTCTTCACTTCGTGAAAAACCATAATTAAAAAAATTCTTCGCTTACGAGCAACACTGTATATTTCAAGAACTATAACAATTGACAATTTACAAAATAATTGTTATTGCACAACACTGACCATTTTTAAATGTGGAGGGATAAAATTAACATGGGCAGCAAAGGAAAAACTGGAATACAAGCATAAAACAAAATAATAAAATCTTTATTCGTAAATACATTGTTCGTTGTTTTAGTGAACACTAACAAGCTACTTGGTTGGCTGGTCCTCTGGTGTAGTTTAAACTCGTTGGCTAGTGGAGCAAAAGGAAAACACTTACTTCTTCATAGGACAAAGACTGAAAATATTCTGTTAGTAGCACACTTTCAAGCCAGACAGAAGACCTAATGTGGTATCCTACAATTCTAGATTACCTAACTTGTACATATATTTGCATCAACCCTTCACTTGCATATGACTCGCGTCTCTCGTGGAGGCACAGAAGCTTGACCAGGTGAATATAAGCTCTCCTAGGTGACTACTGTAATATGTAACTTAAGTTTATGTGATAATTAAAGTACGTTCACGACCACCTACATCCTGTTTACATGGCCATTAATTTAATGTAGAATGCCTGCACACAAAGAAAAAAACTTTAAAATATACCATAGTAAAGATATATTTGATGCTAATTGCAAAGGTCAAAATCTGGCAGTTTTATATTTCCACTTTTCTTCCTCTCTTACTTCAGGGCCTTTATAAATTCGAACTTTTAATATTTTCATAAAAAGCTGAATTAAAGTGTTCATTAATGTAGTTCTGTTTTCCTTAATCTTCTCCTACAGCAGGCAAGGCGCCATGACATTTATTCACAAACAAACAATAGAGAATTTTAATAAACTAATAGGATCCAACTTCCAAAAAAATCAAAACACATCTAATAAATATACAGAATAACAAAATAAA